TTTTTTTTTTTTTTTTTTTTTTTTTTTTTTTTTTTTTTTTTTTTTATACATAACTTCACCAGACACAGACACAGACACTAATCGTTACTTGATTTTTATCCGTGCGATTAGTTAACCAGGCTAGACCTGAGTTCTCACAAGAAACACCGATCATAATAATAATAAATGTCTTTATTGCCAACCGAACAAACAGCAAATAAATAACATTTCTTTGTTGATACATTTATGCGTGACAATATGTGCAAGTTCAGGGACAGGCACAAGCGCCGCTCCTGGTCTTCCACTTGGACCAAAATCAGCAACGGGAAGGAAGAAATAAAATTTACACTATAAATAGAAGAAAGAAAGAGGAAAGAAATAAAATCTACGATATAATTAGGATGGTTCACAAAACGTCCAGATTTCCAACAATTGATGCGAGATAGTGGTAGTTAATGTAATCATAAATTTTTGTTTCGTTTCCCTTTTCGGCCCATACCCTTTTTGTGGACAGCTTTTCAGGATGTAGGTAACAGCATCGGCCCAATTGGTAAAACCAAGGGAGGGATGGTCAGGTGTTCACTGCGAAACTCGGCCTCATGAAAGAAACCTCGCAGAAATTCCTAAATCCCTCAACATCGACAGAGAAAATTGTAGAGGCTGTGTTTGTTTCTGATTACACACTTCACCCCTTCAGCTGTGCATTTAATAATCGGTACTATACAAAGGGTAGATGTCCCCCGTTTCTTGTCCTTGTTACTTTTTCTTGGTTTCAGTTATGGTAACATCCAAATTCTTGTTCGCAAACTTTTGTTCCATTGCCCACTCTTTACTTCGTGCGGTTTTGTTAGGTACTAGTTTCCTATTTTTTCACCCTTCAAAATCTTCCTTCACTTCCTCTCTCTTTAGTCTGATGGTTTGCGAGATTTGATCCATGATATAAATTATGGTGTGGACTTTTTTTAAGGGGGAATTGTCGTTCATTTGTTCTTCCTATTCTAAATCAAAGTTTATGTCCTTTTTTTATCTCGTTCGCTTGTATAATTTTATTTCTATTGTTGCTCAGTACGAAAGCACTCGTGACAATGTAACAGGATAATTACATTTAGAAGGGTTAAAGATCCCACTTGCATAAAATAACATTGAACATCTACGGCACTGGAAAAAAATTTAATATGAAAATTAACTTCTATTTGATCCAATGTTACCTACAAAATCTTTTTCATGCAAATATTCTCATAGGTCGACTCCTTCAGGAATATTAAAATTACTTCAATCAAAATTAATTAAGCAAGTTCCTAAAAATAACCAACCACTTTATGGAAATCACTTCTGGTTAACAATTGATGTTATCTCTCGGAATATCCTTCCTTTAAAAATCTGGAAACAGATCGGTTCGATGGTACAGTTCTTGCACCGCTGTGGTTACGTTATCTTCGTGGTAAATGAAAGTTTGGCGGAAGAAAAGTTCATATGAATCGTGAATCCAAGCAAATCGGGCTCAATATTCTCGACTCTCGAGGTCGTGATCGTGCAAAAGAAAATACCAATGTTCCGCTGTGTTGATACTCATTTATTAACTAGGTTTATTGCGGACAAAGTGCATCGATTATTGTCCATAAATACCCTGCCAAATACTGTTGTATACAAAATTTTTATTTATCGCACAATGCGTTATCCAATGAGGTCACTCAACTTTAAAGAACTTATTATTGTTAGCGATCCAAAAAAAACTTCTTTTCGTATCACAATGTGTTTAATCACAGTTTATTGAATGTCGTTATTACTTGAAAAGCGATTCTCCGATTCGAAAATGTTCCTTCGGGTATATTTTACCACTCGTAAATAAAAAGCCTTGCTAATGTATCAGGCTCCTGAAAAGCTTTGTTTCGTCCTGTAATTTACTGTAATTCGTCTATTTGCACACATAAATTAGCAGATAACCCGCAATTTTTCACAAATTCGATTTTGCTTAAATGTTTCTCCACGACGAACTCGATATTTACGAATTCACGTTGTATAATGTTTTTCACTCGAAGTTAAGCTGCTAATTTTTTAGTACTGTTCGAGTAGATTTCACTCATTGAATGAACGTTCTGGCTCTTGAAAGCGTCCTACCAATTTTCCAAGGTAAGCGTTCTCAAAACGCAGCTAAAAATGTTGACCACGAATCAATTTTTTCACACATCTGTTTGTGTTTGCGCGTGATAGTTCGCGAGAATCAGCTTAGAATTCTCGCTTTGCCACTCTCATCTAAATCTCGCCCGCTAGAAATTCTGAAACGGGACCTATTTTCTGAACACAACGACCTCGACTAACTTCGAAGATATCGTAGCAACCGTGCTCGCTTTCCCCCAATACGTTTCTTGTTATCGCCAGCCATACTTTTGTTCATGTCCGCTATGAAGCGGTATATGTGCAAATTTTCCTATGTTTAACAAAATACAAATTGAAAACCAAATTTTTGAAACGGCAAAGCGACCACCTGTTACAACCTTTCCACCGTTAAATTGAACTGCGCTATCAGGGTTTACTAGATTCACTAAAATTGTCCCTAACACTATATTTAAGAAAAGTTACTACGAGTGTATATACAATTAATGTATCATACGGCCCTGGCTTCAATTTGGTCGAAATCAAGTTGTACTAATTGTCGATATTGCTTAAGGAAAATTACCATGATTTATTGGGGTGCTTTGGGCTTTTAAGTAGCGCTAGGTCTAACAAAATTGGCGCTACAATATGGCTGTTATGGAGAAGCATATGCATGATTAAAGAACATTTTTGGTAAAACAGGTCAGTATTTTATTAGCGAAGTTTAAAATTATCGATCTCACGAGTAATTTGGGCTGCGTTAAATAATTAATTTTATTTAATTTCAATTGAGGGTGTCTTTATTTTGTAAAACAAATCACAAAGTGAATAATTAAGTGTTTATACTGGTAGCGCTATCTAACGGTAAAATTATAGCCCCTCCGAAAACCATATCGAAATTATTTTCAATTATCGATCTCACAAGTAATCTAACTCAAAATAGACTAGAGCCTGCACATCCTGCACTATAGCAGAAAGCTTTTGGTGAAAATTTGAAGTCTCTAGCTATTGTAGTTGCTGAGATCTCACCCGGACAGCCGGCCAGCCAGCCAAAAGAATATAATAACGTATATTTTTCAAAAATGCGCTAAAAATGTGGCGCACACCTTGCTTAGTAGGATATGTAAAATAGGTTGCTACGCTTTTGATAGTAGAATTGAGTAATAATCGATCGCATGTTGAAGAAACGTAATTGGAGCCAAGTTCCTCCCGACATTGTAAATTGAAAACTCTGGAAATATGAATAGAAATTAGAATGTAACGTTTATGTAAAGGAAAAGGACATTATCTAAAATATTACCTTGGAAAACAGGATATGCATTTAAAAAAAGGTTGCCTTGAAAGGATCGATAAAAACACAAATAAATAAACCAAAAAAACTGCTTTACATTAATGCAGATTAACCCGTGCCTCATGATATGTACTGGACATACCGAAGCTACATCCAAAAGATTCCATTCTCCTACCGCTGTATAAATACGTATCGAATAACTTGGTCCGGCAATCAACTCGAGTATCATTTAATTGATCTACCCCTAAGGCCCCTAGCAGCATCATTAAAATGAGGCACACGTGCGGCAGCTGCTTCTCGTCTATCCCATGAACACCTTGCCGTACCACACCGGGCCCGTCGTCGAGAACATCAATTTCTACATAGATATTTTCGGTTCACCTTTCTGTATATTGAATAAGGATGGAATGTTAAGCGTGTGCGTCTACACGAAAGGTTATAATTGTGTTTTGATTCTTTAAAAGCAGCCGGAAAAAGGCAGCTGCCTTGCGGAGTACCATATTATTGTTATGGACGAATTTAAAAATACTTTGCACACTTCAGTATAACCGTACCTATATCAGACCTGCAAATAAACATCTAAAAAATTAAGACGCGTAGAAAAGGTATGGTTCTTTAAATAATAGTGTCCGCAACAAGAATTTATAGGCATTAATTACGAAGACATGTGCAGCAGGCGGAAGTGAATATGTAAATAACGTCACATAATTATCATTATAGTAGGGGTTGTGTGCCACCTGCGATACACCTGCTAAATGCCTTCGCAACTGTCGATCTTGCATTTGCAGTAAACGCAGCGCTCCTTTTTTAGGCATTCGCGTTAGAATGTTTATGCTACAATCACCTACTTTTCTGTTCGATTTAGGAATGAAGCTAGAAGATTCGTTACATCGGAAGTATACACCTGCGACATAACAGCTACGGATATACAAAATTATAGCTACGGATTACTGTATGACAAAACGTCTTCATATCCATGTCCCACTGTGTTTTGGGGAAGTAGTGCATGGTCGCTACTGAGAAATGCACGAATCTTTTAGTTGCACAGATTTACATTGAATTGTCGAGTAATTAGGAGCAATCGAATTAATTTGGACTTCAAAGTTACTAGGTACTCAATGAAATTCAAATGGTACAAATGCAACAGATTATTAACCAGCCCCTAGCGAGTTTATAATTTTGCGGTGTCTGTCCGTCCGTCCGTCCGTTAGCACGATAACTCATAAACGAATGGACCGACAACGATGAAATTTTGCACGTGGATTCTTTATCAAATTTGTAGATCGGAAGTCGTGAATTGGCAATGTAGCCCAAAAAATAAAGTAGGCTCTTTTGACATCTCCGTTAGTTATGAACCGAATTGCATGAAATTCAATATGCGCATAACTTTAGCCATATAAAACACAATTCCAAAAGTTGAGCCTAATCGATCAGCGAGAGGAGCGGTCGCTCCAGGCCTCGCGCTGAAAAAGTCCTCGCACTGCGAGGCCTTTCTCGTTAAAAAATAAATATGTTTTGGTTGAATGAA